AGACTCTGAAACTTGCTCTTGAACATAGAGTAGCTAAAGCAAAAGGAAAAAATGACGAAGTAAAACATCTGATAGAAGATTTCAAAGGGCAGATGAAGAAAACAAGAGAAAGTATTGTAATGAAATGTGCAAAGACCCAGAGTTAGAAAACCAGACAGGAAGAACATGCTCAGCATTTCTCAAGCTGAAAGAACTGAAGAAAAAATTCCAGCCTCAAGTTGCAATATTGAAGGATTCTATGGGGAAAATATTGAAAGATGCAGAAAGCATCAAAAGAAAATGTAAAGACTATACAGAATCACTGTACCAAAAAGAATTGGTCGACGTTCATCCATTTCAGGAGGTAGCATATGATCAAGAACTGATGGTATTGAAGGAAGAAGTCTAAGCTGCACGGAAGGTATTGGCAAAAAACAAGGCTTCAGGAATTGATGGAATACCAACTGAGGTGTTTCAACAAATGAAGGCAGCACTGGAGGTGTTCACTCACTTATGCCAAGAAATTTGAAGACAGCAATCTGGTCAACCAACTGGAAAAGATCCATGTTTGTACCCATTTCAAAGAAAGGTGATCCAACTGAATGTGGAAATTATCAAGCAATCATTAATATCACACACAAGTAAAAATTTTGCTGAAGATAATTCAATAGCAGTTGCAGCAGTATATTGACAGGGAAACTGCCAGAAATTCAAGTCAGATTCAAAAAAGGGCATGGAATGAGGGATATCATTTCTGATGTCAGATGGATCTTGGCTGAAAGCAGAGAATACCAGAAATATGTTTACTTGTGTTTTATTGACTATGCAAAAGCATTCAACTGTGTGGATCATAACAAATTATGGATAACATTGCGAAGAATGGAAATTCCAGAACACTTCATTGTGCTCATGTGGAACTTGTACATAGACCAAGAGGCATTCGTTAGAGCAGAACAAGGGGATACTGTGTGGTTTAAAATCAGGAAAGATGTGCGTCAGGGCTGTATCCTTTCACCATACTTATTCAATCTGTATGCTGAGCGAATAATCCGAGAATCTGGGATATACGAAGAAGACCATGACATCAAGATTGGAGAAAGACTCACTAATATCCTCCAATATGCAGATGATTCAACCTTGCTTGTTGAAAGTGAAGAAGACTTGAAGCACTTACTAATGAAGATCAAAGACTACAACCGTCAATATGGATTACACCTCAACATAAAGAAAACAAAAATCTTAACAACTGGACCAATAAGCAACATTATGACAAACAGAGAAAATATTGAAGCTGTCAAGGATTTCCTTTTACTTGGATCTGCAGTCAACACCCATGGAAGTAGCAGTCAATAAACCAAACAACAAAATGCATTGGAGAAATCTGCTGCAAAAGACCTCTTTAAAGCATTCGAAAGCAAAGATGTCACTTTGAGGACTAAGGTGCACCTGACCCAAGCCATGGTATTTTCAACTGCCTCATATGCATGCAAAAGCTGGACAATGAATAAGGAAGACTAAAGAAGAGTTGATGTCTTTGAATTATGGTATTGGTGAAAAATGTTGACTACACCGTGGACTGCCAGAAGAATGAACAAATCTGTCTTGGAAGAAGTACAGCCAGATTGCTCCTTAGAATTGAGGATGGCAAGACTTCATCTCACGTACTTAGGACATGTTGTCTGGAGGGATCAGTCCCTGGAGAAGGACATCGTGCTTGGTAAAGTAGAGGGTCAGCTAAAAAGAGGAAGACCCTCAATGAGATAGGTTGACACAGTGGCTGCAACAACGGGTTCAAGCATAGCAAAGACTGTGAGAATGGCACAGGACTGGGCAGTGTTTCATTCTGTTGTACACAGGGTCGCTATGAGTTGGAACTGACTCAACGACACTAACGACAACAACTAGGCAAATGAGTCTTCTCTTCAGGAGGTTTCTGACACTCTAGCTGGTGGTGTCTATCATTCTGACACAAATCAGAAAATCCCCCTTTCGATTTTGTTAGTAGGATTTTCACCTCCAGAATGGAATTTTAGGGGCTTCCATGATCTTAGAATTGTAGTCTTCTTGGATGGAAATGAAAAATGTATTGACTGGCATAGAGGAAGAGAAATCCTGCCAAAAAACCTGCCTTTTTATGCTGCACTCATATCCGTCTATTATGTCTTCAAAATAGCATAACTAGCAGCAACCAGTTAATGAAAGTTACTTTCTTTACCCAGCTAGGGATATGCTGATTATGTGGTCAAAGGAAAATCATTTTTGCAGCATGACAGAATAATACAGAAATTATGTCTGTGGGCTTCTTGCTGCCAGTAATATCTTTCAATATAAATTATTACTCATCCCCAGTGAGTAGCATGCATTTTCTGCCTAACTTGTGTGTAATCAGCCATGAACTATATTTATTGGAAAGCAGTCATATGGTATACTGGGTTTAAATCCCAACTTGTCTAGTGTGACCTTGAACGAGTTACTTATCTGATCTGTGATTCAGTTTCCTCATCTATAGAATGCTGATATTCATACCTATCTCAAAGGGTTGCTAAGAAGAGTAAGTAAAATAATATATGTAAAACACTTGGCACACAGTAGATGCTTATTAAATGTTAGTTACTCTCTCCCCATCTGATGACACTAACTCCGGTGGAAACCACCAATCTCTCCCCTCCATCATCTTACTTAAAGTTTAGAAACAGATCATTCCTCCCTTTCCCAAGTTCTTTTGAAGATCAAAGTTATTCAAAAGATGAATTCACCCCTTGTAAACTAATTCACTAAAGTAAAGCCAATGTAAGATTGAAATATTTTATGGTGAATATTTTCCCTTCTGTTATTGAGAAGGATGATACCCCAGAAAAAATGCACAGCTGACTATGCTTTATGGCCAACATTAGAAACGGGAATCAGGTTGTGATGATAAGTAATATTAATTTTATGTAGACACTTTTTTTTTTTAGTGCTTTCTATGGGCCAGGCACTGCTTTATATACATTGACTTTGGATCCTCACTACAAAATAAGAAAGCAGCGGTGGTTCAGTGGTAGAATTTTTGCCTTCCATGCAGGCCACTCTGTTCGATTCCTAGCCATTGCACTTCATGTGCAGCCACCACCCATCTATCAGCAGAGGTCTGCATGTTGCTATGATGCTGAACAGGTTTCAATGGAGCTTCCTGACTG